CGGAACGGACTGGCGGAACCGGAATGGCGGAACCGGAAAAGCGGAAACGGAATAGTGGGTAAAACGCGGAAAAGAGGGTAAAACGCGGAAAAGAGGATAAAACGCGGAAAAGAGGGTAAAACGCGGAAAAGAGGGTAAAACGCGGAAAAGAGGGTAAAACGCGGAAAAGAGGGTAAAACGCGGAAAAGAGGGTAAAACGCGGAAAAGAGGGTAAAACGCGGAAAAGAGGGTAAAACGCGGAAAAGAGGGTAAAACGCGGAAAAGAGGGTAAAACGCGGAAAACAAACTTTGAAACCAAACTTTGACTTTGTTAACAAAATCAAATTTAATCTAATTAAATACCATAATAAAACGAAGTAAATGTACCTCATTACTGTACTTGAGTTCTATTTTTGACTGAGTCGGCATGTGACAAAGTAAACTTTCTTTGGAGTACTTTTACTTGGAACGAAGTCGTTTAAAGAAGTAACGTTTTACTTCGTTATTTTTATCATCTTGCGAAGTATTTTGTTACTTTCTAACTTTTGTTTAATTTTACGTGATGTATTCAGGATTTATTTTAATTTTGGAATAGGTAATAGGACCTCTACATGCGCCTGGATAGATTTCTTATGTCTTCAACGGGATCTGGAGAGTAGACCATGCCGCGAAATATTGTATAGTAGGTGCACCGTGGACGCATCTAATGCGTGTGTTGTTTTGTATGTCAATCCATTGGAGAAGCCCCCCCCCCTACACTCCAAAGACAATAGTACTTTTACTTAAGTACGTTTTGCTTCCAGTACTTTTTACACTTATTCAAGTCGTTTTATTGTTAATTACTTGTACTTTTACTCGAGTACAAATTCAAAGTAATTTAGGCACCACTGGGTATAGTGGACAAACTGCGTTTACTTTTGTAAAGCAAAGATGCCTTTTTCGCCTCAGAAGGAAGACCATGCATTCCACTATACTTAAAACTTCGTTTAAGATAGTTTGATCATTACTTCGAAGATTATATTCTCTATTAAGATCTTTAATTTTTATAAACTTTTTCTCTAAGACTTGGAGAGGACTGCTCATTAAGAATTTTGTACATCAAACGCTCTTCACCCAATGACGTCTTACATCATATGCCTACCGACTAACAATCGTACATCTACTATGTAAAGGCCGGTTTACACCATCAAAGTTACTGTGATCAAAGTGGCGTCATCTCGCACAAGCAAACCTGTGACTTAAATACTTTTAAATTTAATTTGTGTTTTTGAAGGGTGTTACTCGTGCAAACTTCGTTAATAAAAGCATACTGCATGCAGTGAGCACATAAACGTTGATAGTGTAAAGGCCCCCCTCCATGTGAAAAGTGAATCTGACATCGTGGGCAGCAGGGTCCGTATTTATTTCGTGAGAAAAAAGATTCGCTTCGCCATTACTGGATAAGTATAGAGGTCAGTTATAATTCTCTCAAGTCTGTTATTTAAGAAATGCCGACTTGACGCCAACGGAACCGGATCAATTTGAGAAAAACACTTGCGGTTTGACAAAGAATACCACCTACGCAGAATTGGCTAATCGCTTTCAGTGCGAATACCTAGCCACAGTCCATAGGCTTAGTCGCTTTGGTACGCTTTATAGATTATCTCTATACTCTATTATCTATACAAGCGTTGAGTCTGCAAACATTTTCATGATACATATATTTAAAAACATAACATTTTGGCACTAAATACATAACGATTAGCGCGCTGTCAATACGAGTTTTCTTCGCATACACTGTAAATTTCAAGGAGTTGAATCAACTCCGCCGAGTGTTATATTCTGTCACCAAAAACGATGACAGAAGAACTCTTTTAAAGTTGTTTCAACTCCTTGAAATTTACAGTGTAGACAAGATGTTTCACAAATCTAAGGAACGTTGCAGACCATTTTTTCAACGACCGAATTCATCAAATTTTTAGATATTTAAATAATCCGGAAACATATTGTTTATGCAAAGAAAACTTGTCTGCAGCGAACAAATCTTATTTGAAAAGCCGTTAAAAAATTGTATGTTTACACGCGCAAAAAGTGCAAAACGTGACGTATTTAGTGACAAAATGTTATGTTTTGAAAGGTAAAATGGTAAATATCATGAAAAATTTGGGGAAATTAATAAACACGCTGACTCGACTTAATTAAATACAGGTTATGGTGTCATATAACTGACAGCCGGGAAATGTTATCTCATTTATCACTGTACTTTTGACAGTCACAGGTAACGAAAGGACTAGTTTTACTGATACTTGAAGCGTTTCTTCTCTTTACGACACTTCAAAGTTCTCGCCGATGTTAACTATCTATTGTGTAAGTGTCTGAAGTCTAAACGAACGAAATTCATGGTTTGAATCCTGAATAAAAAAGTCGGGCACGTGCTCGTGCCTAATTGTCAACTAAAATGTCGAAATTGGGAAGCTTTAAAGTTCCATCGCTCATTAAGAAAAGACGAATCGAACATGGTTTGCCAACATTTAGCTGGAATTCATTAAGAAACGTGGAGGAAATTGGCAGTGGTACTATGGATCTATACCACTGATCTATACACCGCGCAATTTATGACAAGGAGACATGCAGTTGTTGTTAAAAAGCTTAAGGTGGCTCGCTACAGTTAGTACAGTTTAAATACGATTTATATAGATCAGACTTCATCCTCGCGACCTGCGCGTGGAATCGTCGTGTACTCGTGTTTACTGTTCGGCAAAAATATTGAAACAAGCCGTGGGAAGTTTTTTTGCGTTTTTATCTACAAAGAATGCCCCAGTTTTTCATCATAATCCTAATTTTTTCTGAATTCGAACAGTACGTATGTTATTAACTAGTTTTACCTATCTTTTAGTGTGTTTTTACGTATTTACGTTCAGTATTGTCACAGAATACTACACAGAAGTCCATCTCCATTGTTTTTTTCGTAAGCGTTATTCGTCATGATTCGTCACTCAGCAAGTACCGTAAACAGAAGCAGTCACCCCCCTGGACGTTCGCCATTTTTAGTATTTCCAGGGGGGGACTGCTTCTGTTTACGGTACTTGCTGAGTGACGAATCATGACGAATAGCGCTTACGCTAAAAACAATGTAGATGGCCTTCTGTGTAGTATTCTGTGGTATTGTCTTTCATATAGCTCAAAATTTTCAACTTGTTGTTTTGCGAACTGTCAAACTGAAATGATACTGTCTTCTATTAACTCTTGAACAGTAGTGAACTGTTGCCGAAACTTATATAAGTTCTAACTAGTTCTGTCAATCAATTCAATTCAGAGGTATCGTTTTATCTGCTAAATCAAATAAAACAGTTACGAGTTGTTTTATATGAAAAGTTAAACTTGCAGTTCGATGTTTTGAAAAGTTTTCACACCGATTTTAACAACAAAATCAAATGTAAACTAACACTGGATTTAATACAATGCCTATAATAGTGTTTTTTATTAGTATTTTCAAGATTAATATTTAATTTCATATCAAACAAGTCACAAATATCAGTTTTCGTATGCATTGTAAGCCAAAAAGTTGAAATCACAATAAATCACACGCTACAATTTACACGCATGCGCAGATCGTGCTCATGTCGAGTAGATTTTTTTTTCATGCTGGCCGCGCCGATTTTAGCGATGATTTTCTCGTGTTTCTTCGGTGAAATACGAAAAACGAATATCTTGAAAACTTATTTGTAAACCTCCCTTCAGATTTTGATATGTTTTTCCTTTATGGACCATAAATCTTCAAAAAAAAATTCAGAAAAATTCACCGAAGGAAAATATAGATATTGTCAATTTATTGTGAAATTAGACAATAAAAGTGCAAAAGATTAAACGTCATGGTTGCCATGGCAACACAAACACTGTTTTAATTTGTTCATAAATGGACAGCACACAGCTTCTGAACTTTCCTGGAAATGATCATATTGCCTTGTCTTAAGTGTATCTAATATAAATTCGGTTCAAAGCGAACGATACTCAAAATACCTAGAATTTTAGAGAACTGTAGGGAGCCACCTTAAAGGCGAATCGTCAATTGCTAAAGACCGATTTCTTAATAAATTAAGGAAGCAAAGTTGCTTTTTGGGGCAATTGCCATAAAGCCGTACGATCTAGTATTCGTGACGAAGATGAATAGGGAATGGCCAGATAAGTACAGGAAAGAGACGCCAGAGTTTCCAGAATGTGTACTTTCACGTAAATTTCCGCTGTATTAAAATGAAGCAGCCCTATTTCAGTCCACAAATGGTGACAATACCAGACTCAGATAGAGCACATTTAACTCCTGTGCATAAACATTTTCTAACAGAGTTTGGTATAATAATTTAATTGTACATAATCACAGCACCAGTTGACTGTTTGGACTTGGACCTTGTAGTTTTGTTTATTAAGATATAAGTTTGTTTATTGGGACATTATTCTATGTATAAGATGTCTAAATTTTACCATTTTTATAAGCAGATAAATACAAAGTCAAAACATTTACAATTGCACTGAGGTATATGGATGGGTATAAAACTTACTAATGGACTTTATATTTCAGATTATAGCTTTTATAGAATACATTTTTCCGGAAAATGTTAGCGTTAACATGTTACATAATGGATAATTACATAATGGGCGGGGAGGGAAGGGGTTTACATACACTAGTTTTACATAATGGGGGCTTAAATGTAGTTATTCATACCATTTTTTACTTCAATTTTGCAGAAAAGTCCTTAATATTTACCACGTTCCGCAATTCCAGGGCCCCTTCTCCGCAAGTTAATTGCGCTCCCTTTTTTACTATTATTTAATTGGGGTGTTAGCCCCCCCCCCCCCCATACACCCCAGTAGTTATGTAGGTTAATTGAGGTTAATATTTGAGTTATCAGGGTTGTTAATAGTATCAGAATATCATAAATGTATGTTGCTTTTTTATGACATAACACACGCCCTTCGTGGAAATCATAGTTGAAGGGAATCGTGTGTATAATTTTTAAATAAATATAGTTTTAGCAAGCTACATACCTACCTCGTAAAGAAAAAACTATTCTAAAACTTTTTTCCGCGTTTTACCCTCTTTTCCGCGTTTTACCCTCTTTTCCGCGTTTTACCCTCTTTTCCGCGTTTTACCCTCTTTTCCGCGTTTTACCCTCTTTTCCGCGTTTTGCCCTCTTTTCCGCGTTTTACCCTCTATTCCGTTTCCGCTTTTCCGGTTCCGCCAGTCCGTTCCGTTTCCGCTTTACCCCTACCCCTTTTGATGGGTGTTACTATATGGCAACCGGAAGAGGACTGTGGCAGTATCATTGGCAAAATAAGACTTCATAAACTACTTGTCCTTATCATGGCATTAAAATCATTAGAAAAATAAGACTTAATCCTGATAGTTTTAATTATTGACATTAGACGCGCACTTTTGTTGGACTTATGAGAACAAGTTAAATTAAAAATATGTAAGCAAGTACACGTTTATACAAGTATCCCACATTTACATAAGGTTAGCAGGACCCCAATATATATTCAGCCAGTATTATCCCCGCGCGTTCAATCTTAGTCCGGGAAACAATAAAACGAAGGAAAATAGAGGGATTGCTCACAGTCTAGTATTATCGAGTATATTGGTATCCTGCTAACCCCCCTGGCAAGCCCTGCATGTTCAAACATCCAGACTTTTGAGATCTCATTCGATAGAATGACATGCATGTATATAAATTTGCGTTCGAAAATTTCATCTACAAAAAAACAATCTTTACTATAAAGCCAGTTTTCCACTAGGCAGAATTTTTTTGTCTTTTGATTTCTCTGGTGGAACTAATTAGAAAGATAAAGAAATAATCCACTCCCCGCGCAAAATTCCGCCTAGTGGATGGGTTTTCTTTGTAGATGGAATTTTCGAACGCAAACTTATATACATGCATGCATGCATGCATGTCTATTACTTTGTAATTTTTCACAACGCCAATGTTTAGGAGGGCACTCGACAGCGAAGCTAAAACGACGACTTTAAATGGTAGTCTTTAATACTATGTTATGAATAAAACAACAACGAGGCCAAGACAAGCCACAAGAGTATACTAACATGAAGTAAAGGTCGCCTAGGCGCGAACAACATCGCAGGCGCATGTGATCTTTACTAACAACAATAACAACTAAAAGCCACACTATGGCGCAACTGCTCCTGGTTTATATGTCATGTTTTATTCCGTGTGCATTGCTGTCGCTGAAAAGTTGATTTCATTATTTGTAAGTAAGGCACCATTTACATGAGACTGGGATAAAGTCAAACCTATATCCTGGGTTCATAGGTTTTCTGGTGTCGGGTGGATTTTAGGCTATAGCTTCAGGAAGCCGGATCCAGGGTAAGCCAAACCGGGATGAAAACAAGGTATGGAAGGCAAAATTTTCAGTATGTTCACATAAGACCACTACGAAAATCACAAATCGCTAATTCAAAAAAGTTGTCCTTCAAAACACTTTACAAAAACTCGAAAAACCTTGAACATTAAGCGCGCTAGTGATGATGGGTAACCCCCTATTTAAAATTGGTAAATTTGCTTTGCAACAATGCTAGGGCATATATAACGAACACTTCCGATGTAGGGCTATTTGATTCACCAAGCTAATGCCCAATTTAACAAGGAGAACCATTATTGTCATTTGACTTAGGGGCTGTTTATATGCTCCCGGCTTGCCGGGACGGGATGAAAGGTGTGATGATTTTGATGTATTGAAGTAAATCACTAGGCTCAATGAAAGTTCAAACGCCGGTTAAGAAGATGATTATTGCTGCTTGAACAATCGAGTTTAGAAACAGCTAGTTTAAGACTCAAAAGATGAATAACCGTTCAGTTCTTCTTGCTACAACCATTCTGATAGGAGAAAAATCTTCCACAAGTTATTTGATATTTGACATTTGGATGAAAAGTCACGTGATGCAAACAAAGAATAAATCCTGTATTTTAGACCCTTCGCAAACACACCACCATTTCTCTTTCTATATCCACCGTTTATTATCATTACCATGGTTAGTTCTAAATTTTAACAAATTAGCTTTCAAACCGTGCAAATTTATACCTATATAGTATGTACACTATCTGATATTTATAATTGTTTTCCTGAAAAATATGTCGTGTTTTCATAATATATTCCTTCAAAATTTGCCATTTCATCAAATGTTGTGTTTCTTGATAATTGCATCAGCTTGGTCAAGAAGCTAAAACAAAAAGGGAAAAAATATATTTATCGCATAATCATAGGATCATTGTGATGCGACTTGCTCTGAATACATCAAGATTGAATTCAGAACCCGGTTGTATGAAGCTACCACTGCGCAAGCTTTCTAAATTGGCCTTTGTCTTTGATTGGTATTCCAGGTAAACTACGTCAAGCGTTCCTTTGTTATGTTCGTAACTTGATTGCAATTTTCCTCATTCGATTACCTTTGCAATGTTCCTAAAGGCCAATTAAATTTTTCTCAGTTCCGGTTAGAAGTCCTTAACTTCCTGTTACAAGTTCCTGTAACAGGAAGTTAACTTCCGGTTCTGCTCTGCGCGTTGTAATTGGCTAAGAAAAGTAATCTTGACAACGCTCAGAACAGAACAGAACAGAACAGAACAGAGCAGACAGGAAGTCAGGAAATTAAAACAAGAAGTTAGGAGAATTTAAAAGGAAGTTTCTTGCAATCTGCATTGGAATATTGTAACAGCCGATTGGAACATTGCAAATTACCTCAAGGGATTTGCAAAAGAGTTTTTCAAATTTGTAAAGTAATGAGGAAAATTGTAATAATCAAGTTACGAACTCAAAGGAGGAACACTTGACGTAGTTTACCTGTAATATAACCGAGATTAATATTTAGTATTTAACGAAATAAAGTTTGTTTTAATTACTGTGGAGATTATGTCCTTTCGCAGCTTTTCAGACGTTTTTACAAATGAAAAGTTGATCCTATCACTATCCAGTGTATAGCGTTATCTGTCCGCCTTCGTACAACTGCCTCCAGGAATTAAACATATTTATACAGACTAAACACATACAATTATACACATTTAGATATAATCTTTTCCGATTATTACTTTCAACTTTAAGTTTAGAAATTCTCGACGCCGCAGAATCACGTGGAAAGTAACGAGTCAACCAGGTCAAACAAACGGTCCGTTACTAACTACATTTTCTTACCTGTGTAAATTTCACTGGTTCGAAGAATCCTTGGATAAATCTTCGCATGGTCAATTTATATTTGTATAAACTCATTTGTTCAATCACTTGACTGTACAAACAAAGATCGTCAAACATCTGTGGTACGTTCTCTTTCCAACTAAAACATAAAAGTTAAAGTCAACTCCAAAATTCAGGGGGTCCACAACAGGGTTCTTATAAATCCGCAATCTCTTGCTCAAATAATTACTATCCCGCCCGTTTTACGTATTTATTATTCTGCCACTCTGGAAATACTGAATCTCGTCTCCTCTTTTCGTAAAATGAACGTTATCCTGCAAAACCTACACTCGGCCCAGTCAGGTCTCATGCATGAGCCACTTTTTTGTTCTTACCACATTATGTCATACTGTGTATCTGTAAACGAACAGACAACGGCAAAATCTTATCGATTTGTTATATATAATGCAAAAAGTGAAACCAAAATTGGTGAAAATTGAAGTCTTTTCTTTTCAGTAGTACTTGTCGGCCCCGTTAACACGAGGCTGCAAAGAGTGTCCCCAAATTCGTGTTTTGACTTCGATTTAAGGAGGCTCCCTATAGTTTCCAATATATATCAGTGTTTTAAACTAAAAGCTATTTGAATCTAAAAAAACTATTTTTTTGCACGAGCCACTGTTTCCGATCCTCTTATATAAAAAAGTAATTTTAACCCACAATCACTACTCTTCATGTTACCATGACAACATGACGTCACTATCGATATGGCCTATATCAACCAAAAAGCCGTCTTAGCGAACAAATAACCACGGTGAAATACATTGTTATGAAGTTTTGAATCTTTTTTGAAAGTTATCTGAAAATCGCCAGTGTAGTTTTCGAGAAACTGAATTTCAGCCTTTCCAAAAGCTAAACTGCAAATTGAAAAAAAAGGCTGAAATTCAGTTTCTCGAAAACTACACTGGCGATTTTCAAGTAACTTTCAAAAAAGATTCAAAACTTCATAACAATGTATTTTCTGCAATAAAAAAGGTAGGTCACTGTGGTTATTTGTCCGCTAAGACGGATTTTTTGGTTGATATAGGCCATATAGATGGTGACGACGTGACGTTATGTTGTCATGATAACGTGAAGAGTAGCGATTGTGGGTTAAAAATTACTCTTTTATATAAGAGGAAACAATGGCTTGTGCAAAAAATAGGTTTTTTTAGATTCAAATAGCTTTTAGTTTAAAGCACTGACATATATTGCAAACTCTGGGAAGCCTCCTTAAAGGATAATACTATGGTTTTATGAATTGAAAACGTCATTAGCGATAGATTTCGTGAGAAAAAAAACAGGATTTAGCAGGGGAAAATGATATGAAAACTGTTTGCGACCTTCATAGGCACTGGACGTCAATTTTCGCCATCTTAGCTTAACTTTTCCCCTGGGCCGAATTACTCCAGGTATAGAGAGCTCACTGGTATTACTTACCTCCGTAGGGACTGTTGATGAGATTTGGACGTGACGGCACTGCTCAAATTCACGACTAGCCTCAATATTTCACGTTTGATTAAACTTTGTTCCTTTGGAGTTATCGCATCACCACGCTTTCCTTTTACGAATTTCTCCAGAATACTTCCAGAAGATGGAGTTTCACTTTTACCAGATCCAGGTCCATTCAGCAAAGTTACATTTTTATCAGGAGTGTCACTTTTAACGGTTGTACCGTCGGTTGATTCTACCGATGCTTGCCTAGTCACATGAAGTCCAGTAATACGGGATATGTCCATGCACGAGAGACAATGGGTGACATCATGGGATGATTTTCCTTTCACAATCTGTGTAGTTTCTGACTCTGAGCTTGCTGTCTCCTGGGGCATACTTGTGGAAATACCATTGAAATTGGCAGCCCACGATCCTTTGAACTGACATTCAGCGACCTGAAATGACATAAAAGTTTAATAAACTGCTGTAGTTTGAGTCGAAAGTACCTGAGGAAGGTTGGTTCTTCGATGTCTAGAGCGGAAGTTTGTATTTGTCAATGGATTTCGCGAGGGATTTCGTCTGTATTTTTTATTTATTTCTATTTTAAAAATTCAGTATAGATACACATACTACAAGAAAAAAAAAGCATAACATAAATACACTAGGCGAACAAACAATAGGACACGAGGTCCCCTACAAGGTTTGAACACCTATAAAATGATATCTCGAACGTTCGCTGCGGTTGATACAATAAAGTGTTGTGGTTTATGTCGTTAAAACGATCAAGAAAATGTCGACGTTTCCAAGGAAGTTACTACTTTGTTATTTTACCGATATCTCACAAACAAATTTATTAAGTTGAAAGTTGAATAAACTCGTATTTATAAGCAGATTGACAATGCCTACTAGTTCTTCAGAATAGAGTGCATTCATTCACTGTTTGTCATGTCGTGGTTGATACTTCGTAATGGGTAGCCACTCGCCCGTAAGGCGTTTGAGTTCGATAGTTACCTTTCGCCCGTGTTTGGTAGTAGTTTGGTATCTTTTTTCATGATATGAATTGTAGTCAAAGTATAAATCTAGTACGCGGATATGACAAAAAGACAGTTACTTATGCTTTTCTTTTGGATTTGTTACCAGTTTAAATTTGTTTTTCACCTGTATCCTTCTTTATTAATAAAAATAATCCATATTTTTTACCCGTGTTTTTGACACTACGAATTTAGGGTGTGCTTTTTGTCATGTCCGCGTCCTAGATTTACCTCATCTTAAGCTCTCTAATGTTTAATTTGCGACTTCGCGTGTGATGATGGTGTCAAAGAATCATAGTTTGTCACACTCCTTTAATATAGTAACTTGTCTATAATTTGTAAAATAACTAAATCGATCTCAAGTTTAAAATAATCCAATGTACTATGTCTATGGTAAAATTTGTGCAAAATAAATTGAATTGTTCTATAATGAATCATATGTTGAGAGTTTGTTGAGTTCAGTGTGTTTAGCATTCCACCACAAACTGAAAGACTAGTGTTGGTGGTGAACGCCAAACTGCACTTCATTCATATTTGTACGCATATATTTCTTACACTATGGACAGGAACGCTTGCATACCATAAAGAAGTCGGTGAGATCAAGAGGCAATGTCAATCCCAAAAATTCGTTTCCTCTTGCGGAACTCGCTGTTTTCAATTTCCTGCCATATTGATGATCCAGAGGAGAGGGAGTGGGAAGAGCTGAAGATCCCGATGTTTGGCTTTCTGCGAAGTCCAAGGATAATGGTCGGGATTCAGGGATAGGAGGTCTGAAATAGTAAAAAAACCCAGCGAAATGGGGGCAATTAGTCAAAAGCAATTGTTTTATAAGTAATATATATACAGCATAAGCGGCCATCTTGATCAGATATTGGAGTAAAAGGTTTATGCAAATCACGAAAATTTTGTATATGTGGATAAAACACCTCGTTAAACATCGACTTCATTTGAATTCTCTTCATGAATTATTGTTGATTTTTACAAGGTGTATTGGTGCAGCAACCCACTGATCTAATAGTAGATCATCAGTGGCAGCAACCACGCACGAACCACTAATGTGGTCAAGCTAGAAGAAAGGCGACATTTTTTTAATCAACAGGCAATAAAGATATTAAGTATACATGGTGATTATGCATGTTCACAAAAATATTTTTTGTGAATTCCGACTTTTTCTAATATTCAAGCTAACGGAAACAACCATACGGGCGTCAGGTGTGGTTAAATATTTATAAACAATGCTACATCTTGTTTCTGGACCCAATTTCCTAAAACCATTTAGGCAACACGATGTGGGCACAGGCATTTCAAGTACTCGTAGCGTAAGCACGGAAAGCAACACAATGACAATATCCAACACACCATATTACAACAACAGCGACAACGACGGCGACGACAACGGCAACGACGACGACGACAACAACAACAACGACGACGACAACAACAACAACAACAACGACGACGACGACAACAACAACAACGACGACGACGACGACGACGACGACAACAACAACGACGACGACGACAACAACAACAACGACGACGACGACGACGACGACGAACAACAACGACGACGACAACAACAACAACGACGACGACAACAACAACAACGACGACGACAACAACAACAACGACGACGACAACAACAACAACGACGACGACAACAACAACAACGACGACAACAACAACAACGACGACGACGACAACAACAACAACGACGACGACGACAACAACAACAACAACGACGACGACGACGACAACAACAACGACGACGACGACAACAACAACAACGACGACGACGACGACGACGACAACAACAACGACGACAACAACAACGACAACAACAACGACGACGACGACGACAACAACAACGACGACGACGACGACGACGACAACAACGACGACGACAACAACAACAACGACGACGACGACAACAACAACAACAACAACAACAACGACAACGACAACGACAACGACAACGACAACGACAACGACAACGACGACGACGACAACGACAACGACGACAACGACAACGACAACAACAACAACAACAACATAAGCATCACCAACAGCAACGATAGCATCACCAACAGCAACGATAGCATCACCAACACCAAGAAATAAAGACAAGAATAGCATCAATAACAATAGCAATAAAAACTAAACTGTAAACAACATAGAACAAGGCTTACCCAACAATGGCGAACGACTGATTAAATCCTCCAATTCGCGATTCAATATCCCTGTTCATACTTCGCTTTCTGCGCAAATTACTCAAAGCAGAATAACCATGTGCGTCGCGAAAAGATGTGTAGGTTGGCATCATGTCTACGCTTTCGACATCCGATGGAGATGTAGGGCTCATTGGAACAGATTGAAGACTCCATATCGACATTGAAGTCACGCTTTTTTTAAGTCGTTTACCACGCGGAGTATAACTTGAACTAGCCGAGCTTGCGCTACGAGAATACGCTTTGCGAGGAAATTTCTTGTTTATTTCATCAACTGAGGTTCCTATATCTCTAACATGGTCATTTCTACTAACAACAGACGCCATATAACTTAGACCATCACCCATGCTCATCTGATCTAAATATGAACCATCAAAACCATCTGTTTCTTCAGACTTTGTAAGATTCTTTAAAACCAGCGTTTTATTGTCCAGTAACATCACCTCAGTGTTACTGCCCGTTATCAAAGCGCGTTGGTCGTTCGCAGGTAAGCTGATGGAGTAATCATTTCGGAAAATTGGTCGGTTTGCTCGTGCAGGATAGTGACTCATGTCGTCAGTTGTTCCAGAGAAACTGGCACTTCGAGCGTCAGCTGTTATAGAGAGTCTTGGGTCTACTACGCTACCCTGTTCATTTAAACTCGAACTACGTGTGCGATTTAGCTCGGCTTGTCTTTTCCTCATCGATTTCTCGTAAGGTTTATCTAAGTCCAAATGTAACGGGATGTTCTCGTCTAGACTTGTTTGACTTTTATAACTTCCAAAACTTTGGAAAGTGTCCATGGAGGACTGTGAACGATAACTTGACTCACTTACTCCACTCGAGCTGCGCACGTGACGTACTTCATCACCATCTGTTGCACGTGATCGAGGAGTGCTACTTAGGGGACTATTAACATTGGTCTCTTCGTTTTCTACTTTGCCATCTTTGGCTGGAACAATAATAGAAAATCAATTAGCCTTTCTCACGCTCGGTTTATCCACCATTTTCGGGATACTGCCAAGTCTGAGAGTATACGCACCACGAAATACGACTTATCATCATTGTAGTTGTGTGTATAATGGTAAATTTACACAATTACAACTTTGAAAAGTCATTTTCCCATTGTTTTAATTGTCTAGATTCTTTGACGAGGAAATACAGTAGCGCAAAAATGGCGGATATTGGCCGGTGTGAGAAATGCTAATTATAAACACTCAATCGAAACTAACAGTAAAATGTGTATTAACATTCCAAAGCTGTTAAGGGACGCAATACAGGATGAGGTTATAAACGGGCTATAAAATTTTCTGAAAACTGTAAAAGAGCTTTCTTAAGTATACCCGTGAAAACACACTGGTTTTGCAAGGTTGTTCCAACTATGTGGCTGATGTTTTTCTGTCCGCAGTGCCATATTTTAGTCTCATATTGTAAAGCCCTGGGCAAACTAGGAAACATTGTTGCGGAAACATTTGCGATTCTCGATGTTTCCTCCAATGTTTCCCTGTTTGCCCACCCGTGGAAACATTGTTGCGGAAACAAAATTTGCTTCCCGAGAAGCAAAAATGTTTCCTAGCAAATTCAGAAACATTTGATGTTTCCCTATGTTCCTCACTGTTTCCTAGTATTTGCCCACTCTGGGAAACATGGCGAAACATTGGTAGGAAACAATGATTCGTAGTTTACTCAAGGCTTAAAGAAGATGCCATGTTTGGTTGATGATTCAAACGATCAGTTCCAAGTTGTTCAACAACTTGTTATCGACGTACAATTCAACAAATTGTTCAATAAGTTACAACCTGTAGCAGCTGGATAGAACAATACCCGAATTTACTTTGTACATTCCCTAAATCCCGAATTTCCTCGCTAGAAGTCTAATATTGTAAGAGAGAGGAGAAACGGACGCCCTTACGAAAAGATGTTGATAATCTCGACAAAAACATATATGCCTCCATGCAGAGTAGAATTTTATCCTTAAAAGAGGAAACAGCTTCAGAGCACTAGATTAAACTTGAAGCGAAACACTAGATTAAACCCCCTATTTCATCTAAACTTTGTATACATAATTAAACATACAAGTTATATATTACCTTGTGAAGAGCTTGCACTTTTAAGAATTCTACTAATCAAAGAATTTTCTCCTAAGGAACCTTCATATGGCCCGAGGTTGATCCCCGTCTTCAGTTGGTTACCATGCGTGCCTGTACTAGCATCGCTGTCTGCGGAATGTCTGGATGCATTAGAAGCACTGCGTGGATAAGACTCGCTTCGAGCTAATAATTTTGGACTGTTCTCTCTTCGAGAGGTTGATTTTTTCTTACCCCCCCGGCTGCTATCATCCTCAGCACTGGCTTTCTTCCCTGTCACAGTTTCAGCAGGGGGTGGCATGAGATGTGCTGGAATGGAGGCTTTATTTATTCTCTCTAGCAAAGACGGCGGCTCGACCTTTGTTTCAACTTCCTCATTAGAGCCACTGGATTTCTCTTCAGAGAGTGACACACTGCTGCCGCCATGTTGGTCTTCACCAAAATACATTTCTTGACGTTTTTCTTCCAGCATGCTTAGTAAGATACCGCTACCAGTTCCTTCATCATGTTTGGGTACTTGAGGAGCTTCCTCACCAAGATAAATGCCACTGCTTTTGTCGTAGACATTGCTCAGTCGATGTTCTGTACCAAGATACACACCACTTGCTTCATCATACAATGACTTCTGAGCGTCCTCGGTCTCGCTCTCTGATTTTCTGTGTCTAAGGCTTTCGTCCACACTTTGTCGGTAATAATCTACAAAATAAATTAAAGTTGATGATATTCTTTAATATCTTGGCACCGTCCGCAAACTAGCAAAATAATGATTTCATTACCAACAAGTCAAAAAATTAATCAAGCAAAAAATCAATCAGTGCCCCCAGTAACTTGCCACGGTTTTTCTCGCGGGATAGGCCTGTTGTATGCCTGTGTGTAAACGCACTTTATATAATAACTTTAAGAATTTAAGCCCTTTCATTGGTCGATAGCCATGATCTATTAGAGGACACACACACGGAATTATGTCACACAAAACCTTATCCAATAGCATTCCCGTATTTGTATAGATCATGTACGCGTGATATTTGTAAAATTTCGACTTTTTCAAATTTCCAAATGTTTGGATGGATAAAAGAAAGCTATTATCTGTTTAATTCGGGGGGTTTCTTTTTATTATATAAAACAAATAGATATAAGATTTTGCCGTTGTCTGTTCAGTTATAGATACACAGTATGACGTCATAATGTTGGAAGAACAAAAAAGTGACACACTCGCCTCGTTACTTAACAGTAAGTAACGTAAACAGTATTTCTATAAATTTTATAGTAAGTTTAAACAACAATCAACAGAATCGTCAACTTCCAGTACCGGAAGTCCCATTCACTTTCGTTTCATGCTTGAATCATGCTATTTTCATGTACGTCATGCTTGCTGTAATATATTGGGAGGACAGAGACGGACTAAATGTTAAACCTGGAGCAAGAGAAAGTCTAGTAACGACTATGGTGGAAAACTGCTACTTTTTCCGGACAAGTGAAGCATTGACGACGTCAGCTTCTGACTTGCCAGCCGAACGTTTAATTTTATCTGGGAAACCCAAGTGCTGATAAGTACAGTGGGGGTCAAAAGTCTGAGTCCAGTCAATATGCTTTTGCCCTTTATTGATATACAATATATTTTCACACAATAGATCACTGTATGTGCGTCAAATAAGGATTTACATCAACGTTGGAATTGATTATACTATATTAGTCAAGTGAAAATTATTTTAATATTTTGTGTGACCTTTTTTTGATTTAAGAATAGCTTTAACTCTAGCCTGCGAACAGGCCCTGGGTTGCGGGCGGCGCGAAGAATAGAGGGCCTGCACGGAACTATAGGTTTTCTTGGTAGTGGCGTTCGTATAGAAACGCAGGCTTCTGATTGGCTTACACTCGTTGACAAAATTACTAAAAATAGCAAATGTCAACAACAGCATTTTGAAGAATTTGAACTTTATTCATTTTAATATTATATATTATAGGACTATCGAACAAATAAAACTAGAAGTGGAAACCAAAAGCAATAGCAAAGCATCACAGCAAAAAAGTCTATCATAAATTACTTGAATCTATCGCTTAAATCCAATATACGAAACTATAACAGTATTCTGAACTTCGTCTTCGGATTGACATCAGACTATAGTATAGTACATTTTGAGGTCGTCGTGGCTTCACGGATTATTCTCATTAGTGAGCAAGTCAGAAAGCGAAGGCATACAAAAGATACCCAAATATGTACGAATAATTATATTGTTGATCCTCGCTGGCATGTCATTTAGATAAATATATATCGTACATTAAACGTTGTACTATTTGCTGTATATTATTAACTGCTGACAATTTCGTCGCCGATACGGCTTCCACTATTGGCACACTCGTGATTTCGAAGAAATTAATAAATACATGCTCATTTATCATTTATTTAGACCACAGTTAGTAAAATTTTAGACGTATTCGGTATTCCAAATCCCAATCTATCTGACCGTATTTTAGTAATAGCTTCAAAATATTCAGAACATTGTTCTTTCAGTCGCACATAGTACAAGTATTACTGTACATTCAAAGCCAATGGTAGTATTTTATTCGGCTTTATATTTGTATGTGTATTGATATCTATTTAATATTCAAAGTGACTATATGACCGGCAGCCGGTCACGGTTTATCAAATACTAAATGGCCGGCAGTCTAGTGACTATAGTTGAATATAAAAACTTTTGTTTGCGTTAACTTTTACCGAACTTGCCGTAAGCTCATACGGCAAGGGCGCTGCGTGCGAAAAGTTAAACGCAGTCGGGTCGGGATGTGTTTTGTTTGACTTAGCATTGTTTTTTCTTAAAAATTTTTAAACTTTTTTTCCCGACTTTTCTAACTCTCAAAAGGTTAGGGTTAGGACTTAGGGGTTAGGGTTAGAAAAGGGTTTGGGGTTGGGGATAGGTTTATCTTATAAAAATTCAACTTTAACAATAGTCACTAGACTGCCGGCCATTTAGTATTTGATAAACCGTGACCGGCTGCCGGTCATATAGTCACTTCGTTTAATATTTGAAGAATTCTATATTTTTCCGAGTAATATATTGTGCGGCCCGCTAATGCTTTGTATTATTGTTCATGTTGCACAATGTACACGCCTTGCGTCAATTTGACAGTTGACAGTTTATTTATCGCAGTCGACGCTGATTGGTTAGCGTTTAGCAGATGCGAAAAGGGGATGATTGAATAAAACGCATGGTTCCGTGCAGGCTCACCTTTCTCCCAGTGAGCCTGTTCGCAGGCTACTTTAACTCTTCCTGGCATAGATTCAACAAGTGTTCTAAGTACTGCCTGCTTAAGGCTATTCCAGCATTGATTACTGTCGTTCCAATTGAAGTGTTGCTCAAATATTGATTCAATACATTACATCGGGCTGACCAATTCATTTCATCAAGTTCCTCGAGATATTCATACACTTCCTAGTATAATTGTAAACTTCCTGTTGAATAGTTTGAATGCACCAATCACCTTTGTTGTTTGTGCAACTAACCAATCGTAAATAGAAAGGAAGTGACCAGAAATGATCAAATACTTGGAATTGGCTCTTTCACAGGAAGTGTATGAATATCTCGAGGAACTTGATCAAATGAATTGGTCAGCCCGAGGTAATGTATTGAAGCAATATTTGAGCAACACTTCAATTGGAACGACAGTAAGGACATCCCATATGTTTTCTTTACTTGTGGGATGAGAAAGGTGATCTGGTTGTTATGGATTTCATTCTCAACCTCCAGACCTAAAATCATAAATCCTATTGAGAATTTATGGAAACATTTGAAACGAGAGAAAGTGAAACAGAATCCCACAAGTAAAGACAACCAACCTATGGGATGTCGTTGATCAATAATGCTGGAATAACCTTAAACCATCAATACTAAGAAAACTTGTTGAATCTATGGCTATGACAGGAAGAGTCGAAGCTGTTTTAAAATCAAAAGGAGGTCACACAAAATATTAAAATAATGTTCACTTGGTTAATATAGTATAATCAATTCCAACGTTGATGTAAGTCCTTATTCGACGCACATATAGTGGTGTGTTGTATAAGAATATATTGTATATCAATAAAAGGCAAAATCATATTGACTGGACTCAGACTTTTGACCCCCACTGTATGTATTTTAGACTAGATATTGCTATCGCAAGGAAGTACGATGCATCTGAGTCTTGAGAGTAATGGATAAAACGGATTAAGCAGAAACAAATGTAGGTAATGCAATGGTAGATTTTACATTCCACTGCATTGGTACAATTTACTATGGCGGTCGATGTGTTAATTCTTGATTCAACGGCAACAAGTTTAGATTATTCTAATTCATACCCTGCATGTATATATATATAGCCTGCATGTATGGAGTAGATGGGCAGAAATAATTATATAGCCTGCATGTATGGAGTATGGGCAGAAATAATTGTTAACCTGTAGCAGCAGAGAGCGATGAGACAAACCACTTGGAATAAGGTAGAGCTTCTTCTTTAACTTCAACAACAGGCCATGAGTCTTCTCCTTTATGACGAACACTTTCCCAGTTTAACGTTTTAAGAATGTCCGCTCCCTGACGGGTTGTGGCAATCAATCCCAACACGTAGAAACACGTTCTACATATACAAAGCGGCATAATTAATCCCATTTATATCATAAGTAAATACTAATACATGCACAAATTGAGATTATAGGTACAAGATACAAGATACAAGATACAAGATTTATTTGCTCCTTTCAAATTGCAATTTATATACACAAAGAAATTATTTAAATTATAGTTAACATTATTATTATTAGTAAAATATATTTGTGATCTGTGACTAATTGTTTTGTAATTTTTGAGAAGATTTGAAAGAGAGCTGGCTCCCTGAAATAACCACAGGGCTATATAAATATCAGGAAACCAAATAAAGGACGAAAAAATTATGAAAATTGACAATATATAGTTCTATATCAAATATATTTAAAAGATCGAGAAAGGAGTCCACACAGTAGTTAGGCATTTAAGCAAAACCTTTGTCACGAAGTATAGTCAAATTTGAACCTCTATAATTGTAAATCGTTGACGGTTTTTATAATAAAATGAACTGTTTGATCAAAACTGTTACCTGCTTAATCAAAACCAGCCTACGAGCATTTTACTTCGATAAGCTCTGCGATCAAAAAAGTTTCAAAGAGAAAATAGCAAACCACATTGGCAAATTATAGATGTCAATGGACCTTTCCCCTTATAACTAAAATTTCGATCTAGACAAAAATTTCATCACAGCTTGAAAGAGCATCACAAAATTAGTAATATTCCAAAGTTTTGGTGCAAAATCTTGTAAAATGCGGATAATATAGCCTTGCGAAGTTTGCCGTTTTTCAGTCATTTTGTATTACAAACGGGAAATTGACATACGATTCGGGTGTTGGGGCTGCAATTTCCCGTTTGTTATGCAAAATGACTGAAAATTGCAAACTTCGCAAGGCTCTATTTTCCTCATTTTACAACATTTCGCAACGAAACTTTGGAATATTACTAATTTTGTGATGCTCTTTCAAGCTGTGATGAAATATTTGTCTAGACTTGCCTATATCAAAATTTTGGTTATAAGGGGAAAGGTCTATTTAAGCCATTAAATATATCCACCAATGTAAGACATTACTGATTATGTACCACTGATGAAAATACCCTGCATTGCTTCCCTGGGATGTAAAGAGCCAAGATGAAAAGTTGATAGAAATTGCGGCGATCGCTACTACCAGAAATGGGGCAGATGTTACATTAAGATGGAGCTATATATTCTTACCATGTTACTGTTACTAAAATTTATGATTAGTGCAGCAGATGTAAAATCCTCTGAATCTGATTGCGTGCTTATTTTAAACGCAGACTGTGACTTACCCTCTTAGAGTTAGAACACTACAGAAGTTTGCCATTTCGACAATGTGAGGGATAATTTCCTCCTCAATTAAGATACTTAAGCCCCAGCTTGAGGTCCCGATATGACCCTAACAGAAAATACAAAAGTGAGGTCTTAACGCCACTTAACGAACTATACCGCTCTAAGTTTTATCAAGATCCCCAAAAGGATGGTGTTTAGCAAAATAAAATTAATGTAAGCATTTTAATTATTTAAACATTAGGAAAACAAGACGATACTCAAATCCAATTGGTTGGATGGCAAAAAGGCTGATCATCTTTTGCCTCTATGTATAGTTCGCAGATTCAGCCAGGGGGCGGGGGTTGGCGTTAAGTAAATAGCATTTCTGTTGTTACCTTCACCTACATTACAAATACCAACTGAAATCTTTGAGTTCCCACACACCATTCACACATACGTATCACTTACCAATGCCCAAAGTGCTGCTTTGACCTTCTGAATGTCCGCCGCTTTGTCTGAATCAAACATCTGAATTGTATGCACAAACTGACCAACGTAACCCTGAACGCAATTTTGATAAAAATTACATTTCATACAATAATGAAAACTGATAGATAAGTATACTGTACCAAACGCAAAATAGACATCTGAAACATGAAATCGTATACACATATTACTCCACTTACTGTTTGCTGTAGATGTTCATATCCACTCTTTAACTTCACGATTTCGCCAAAGAAGTGTGTTGGAACGTAAACATGGCGTTTAACAACTCTATAAAATATGCCAGAAATATATAAATAGGTAAGAAAGAATTAAAAACGCTGCAACAAGTTGCCGCAACGTTTTGAACAATCAGAAACTTACTGTACCAAGTGCCGGTCATCATTGAATCTCGGGAAAATTTTTCAGTTTGCTCGCAAAATATTGTCGCTAATGTAAAATCATGCATACACAAGCAGATGCTAAAACAGCATTCTGGGCAAAAAGTTTAAAGACTTCAAAGATTGTGTTAGTGATGTCGTGCATGATCTGGCTGTAGAATAGTTGGAAAACGTATTAGTGTTATTATATTTCACATACTTAACGGATGATTGTCTCACATATCCACCATCTTCATCGGTTGGTTTCTGATATGTTGTTAAGGCTTCAGCAAGAGCTTCCTCCACCCATTTTACGTACTCACTACTGTATTTCTGCAACGATATGACCATGCAATAATGCATAAGTTGAGTCACTAGCCACGATTTTAACGCCATTGCATATAATAAACGGGTATCATGGCGAAAATTAACGGAGCCTGTGAAAAAATATGATTCCACACTCGTATACATACGCCTTTTTGTTGGACACAGAGCATAGGTAATAAGTACATTCCGCTCGGTGGCAGCCATTTTAACATTCAGTGCGTGATATATTCGGGGCGCGAGTTCAGGCCGCCAAAGAAGTTTCTGTCCTCGTGTTACTCCAAATATATCAGTCTTTAAAAGCAATCTGCCTCAATCGTTATGTAAATTTGTTTAAATAATCAGTGTGATAATTGATTGTGCTTTCTTAGTTAGAAATATTGTTACAGAAAATTATTGCTAAATGAGCTACGATTACGATCCGATTAAGATTTTGACAGATGGAATTTAATGAAAACCAAACCGTGCAGTGTAACAAAACGTATAGTACACGTATCACGTGATCATAATGAGGTTCGGAAAGGGTCGTCGCATCTTCGTACATCTATTTCTTCGTTTCTACCCTTCTCTACCTCTCACGCCTTCCCAGGAAGCCAGTATTTCTCAGTTCACGAATAGTGGGATTTTGTGTTGAACATTTCAATATTACAGAACTTAGATTCAGATCTTAAATTGGATAAATACCCACCTGAAGCCATTGCTCCATGAGTGGATCAACGTAACCCAGTCCACTTAAATACGTGAAACCTTTATCAACGGATAAAAACCTGGAACAAAGAGAAATTTTATATTACTATCATGCAGCATGCGCTGTATGGATAACTTTAAGGCCACGTTTACACTATAACGTTACGGCTAGCATTTCCTTAAAAATTAACGGAGTTGCTTACCGTAATGTACCAACTACAGACCACTACGCTTGGCACTCCGGACGCAAATCAATACGCTATAGTAAATCGCCGTAGCGTCATAGTGTAAACACGGTCTAAGAAACGTAGTGAATTTTTAACGAATGCCAGCCGTAGCGTTAAAGTGTAAACGCGGCCTAATATGATAAGTTTCTTATCCACTTCAGAGATAACGAGCACAAACTACTGTATGCATGCGTTATTCAAAAACTGATTCGTTATTCATGTCTACTATATATACAGGACAGTACACTATACTGTACCTCGTTAAAAGTCTCCAGCCTCTGTCTCCAAGATGAAGTAAAGCTGGTCGAAGTTGAACCAAATATTGAAGATTAGCCTAGAAAACGTTGTAACAACTTTTTAGCCTTTTGGCCACTTTATCATCAATGTTAGCTGCAAAATGCTGTTTTACCATAAAATTGCGAAAACACAACCCAATCCTTCAAATTAACAGAGTGGCGCTACTTTTGGAAACGGTTACCTCAGTTGGTTAGTGCGCTGCACTGGAATTGCAGGGACGCAGGTTCGAATCCTGCCAGAGGACCTAGTGTTACATTTTTCCCAACCGTTCCTGGTTAGGTATAAAAAGTGTTATTATATACACAAGGTCTGGATATGAGGTATTCTGCAATCTGATTGGTTCTCTACTAGCAGGATATTAGCTCATATCCTACTAGTAGAGAAAAACAAAATGGCGGCTAAAATTGAATTTCCAATGTTTTGCGAACGAGAAAACGGCAAGTTGTTCGCTTTTTATAGCCCTTTCAGGATTAAAAACACAATGAAAAAACTCCCACAAATTGTTTACAGGTTAGCAAATGAATTTTTAAAATATAAAATGGTTAAAAATATATATTTTTGAAAAAATAATCGGCCGAAAGAGCGAAGATAAAAACATAAACAAAATAGAAAAATATTGAAAATAACAGAAAAGCAAAGTCTGTAAATTCAGACCTTGTGTATATAATAAAACAGTTATTCCACTCACTCTCGTCGAATCTATCAGCTCATATTCGACTCTATAACTGTTAAATATCGTAACTTGGATTATCCAGCTACATAGTGTGAAGCCTTAGTAACCTCCTGCAACCCTATATTTCTTATAAAACAAACCTCATCTTCGCATGCTTCTTCCAAGACATCAGCAGCCTCCATTGCAATTCTGTTCTCATGATCATAAAGCTTTAAAGAAATAAATTGTCAACTTTGATTTCTTGTGAAGAATGATGGTTGTGAAAATCGATGAGCAACAAAAATAGTTATAACAAACGTTATATAACACTTCATTAAATTATGGTAATTTAATTGGCTCATTATGATCACGTGATATTGGATAAAAATTACCATCTTAAGGTGGAGTAATATGGGCAACAAAATTGCTGCAACTTGCAACAAAATCTGATTTCTACGCATGTTAATTGAACATGTTCACACATACATTACAAATCACGAGGCAACATGTGTCAACATTTCTACTTAACATGCGTTGAAATCAGATTTTGTTGCAAGTTGCAGCAATTTTGTTGCTCGTATTACTCACTGAACGGTTTGGTTTTCATTAAATTTCATCTGTCAAAATCTTAATCAGATCGTAATCGTAGTTCATTGGCGATAATTTTCATATTGAGACCACTGATTGAGACCAATGGGATTTGATTAATTCAAACACATAATTCATGAGAAGCAAAACAGTGCATGGTGTAAAAATATTTTTTACGATACTGTTGAGTGAAATTATAGGTGAAATAAACGCCATTATTTGTGCATATTAATTCTCCACTAAAACATTTTTTGGGACAATTTTTTGTTGGATATGTATCATTTTTTAACATTGTAGATGCAACTGAGGTATGTATTTGTTTTGTATTTAAGGTGGCTCAAACTTCAGGTGTATAATAGTTTGATAGTTTTAAACGTTATGCAGCAGATATCACAATATTCATCAATTTTGATCTTCAATTTATGTTCGTTTTGGTAACGAAATTCACTCTAAAATAGCCTATTGCTTTGTGTAGTTGGAAAAGTAGCACGGTGAGCCCAATTTCTTTACGTGCAACAGTTTATACTTACAACATACAGTATACTAACAATGAGCAAAATATAAAAATATTCTGTAATGAGTTTATTCTGTAATGAAAGACTTTTGCAGTCCAACACAGTGTGCAAAATTTCAACATAGGTCACCGCACGAAATAATAGATGTAGCGCACAGTTTTTTAAAAATTAGCATTTCTAATGACGTCAGCAATGGAGATAGAGCGCGTCGGCGCGTGTCAGATCATTTATGTAAGTCCGTTCGTTAATATTCCCGCGGACACGATAGCATAACGTTTTGTTTCCCGATTCATGTATAAGGGGTTTTATGTGCATTAATATATCGAGTCACCTTGATTCAAATAAAAATTCGATAAAATTGATCTATGACCTAGATGGAAAATTACATTCATAAACATTCATTATTTGTATAAAACTACATTTCTTACCTGAGTAACCAACAATTCTATTCCCCAGTTATTGAAGAACGCGACTTTCGCTCTCAACAACGCACGAAGAAACTTTGTGGCGTACAGGCGAACATTCTAGGACGTAAGATTAAATGGTCTACATAATTTTGAATTTATTACATTTACTACTTTGAGGTGCGCAGGAAAGCCTTCGTCTCATCCACGAAGACGTAGTTAATTGTAGTGTTTCGAGCGTTTTTCCCACTGTTACCTGGCACTCTCGAAGCACTACAAACAGTTACACCCAGGTCAGTCGCCTATGCTTATTCCATCTATGTTGAACAAAACGAAAGCAACATTGGAAAGAAAGATCACGGAGGCATTTTACATTGAAAGAATGGAACCTGACCTGAACTCAAGTTTTTAAAATTTAATTACAAATACAGACACGGACACGAGTCATTTTTAACCTGAAGATGGAGTTATACTCCGATACGTAGTTACTAAAATATTTTTTACTAAGCCTATGGCTATGGTCTAGTTATTCAAACACAGAATTACTAAAATGCGGCTTAGAGAAAGTTCCGTCATACAAGATTTGAAGAATAAAAATAGTAAAGCATAGTAAGGCATTGACATTTAGTTCACAATATCACAGTTGTTTCAAATTCTGCCAATGTTGAGCCAGGCTGAACAGCGATTGGTTATTTGTTCCGAATATAAATTTAAAGACTTTACCGTTGGGGAAGCGGTGAGGATCTTGGATAAAATAATTCTGCTTATTTCAGCACGTCTGTAGTCTAAACTGGCAAGTATCAGCTTGAGAAGGCGATCACGTGACTTCATCGAGGCCAGGTCTAAATAACTGAGAACAACCCGATGCATAAATTAATATGATGATTATAAAAGGTCATATTAGAAGACTCTAGATTCCGACCCTGATGGATTTCTTCTTGAACTGGAAGCCTTATTATGAATACTGATTCTATCTCAATATTTAACTTAGTGGAAACGAAACAAGGCCAAATAAGTATACTGTATGCTCGTAACATAATTATTGAAAGAATGCATATTTGAAACTTGGCCAAGTATATTTCAATCAAGTCTTTCCAACAGCCAGATTTGATCATGTCCAGGTAGTGGACAAATTGTTCTTAGCAGTGTCATATTAAATTGCTGTACAGCTGTAGTAGTATGAAAGAATTCAATACTGCGTAAGAGGAAAAAGCTCAGACTTACTGCTGATAAACTCCAGTAGTTCCTAGAAGTTTATGACCTTCACTCGAACAAGACAATCTTCCGAAGAATACAAAATAATAACGACTTGTTGTCTTCATTAAACTTTCCTCACCAAGAGTTCCACTGTTGGCATCCTTGAAAGCCTGAAAATATGATTAAAGAGCCTTGGTCAGTCAAAGCAAAGCATTTAGAAGACTTTCAACTTCAGTAAATCAAAGCAAAACCAAGGTCCAACCATTCACAAAACATTGGCTATTACAGGCAAGTCTTCAACAGAAATTGGCATCGTATCACTTATTCAATCTGGCGGACACCGTCCCAAGAATCAAATGATTCAATGTTTGAAAAATGTCGGGCGTTTACCCCCAAAAGAGTAAATGAGGAACGGGAAGAAACGAAAAGGAAGAGAAATCTGGGAAGGAAAATAAAAACTAATGGCAATGAGATTTTCAAATATTTGTTGCTCTGTTGCACGAATTTCACCCTGAAAATGCATGAAACACATACTCTGAACTTCCAAAATTCAACATTTTTCGTGGCAGCAAGATCTCCGAACCCCCTGCTATGTAGGACTCAACAGCATGACTGATCAATTGCCATCAACAATACCAACGATCAAAAGGGTTTCAAAAGTATATTCACAACTCTCGCTCCTGGATAGGGAGAATGTGCCACCGAAGACTTAATGATACAGATAATCAATGTACAAGCTCAGTGTTATTGCACAACAGGCAATTCCAGCTTTTAGTTTATGCCTGCAGGGGATGATGGGAAGTAAGGTATCATAGTGCTGATTATGTTGGAAAATTTCAATAAAAACTACCGAAACAACCGAAATATTTCAATATTTACAAGTATAAGCTATCACTCCGTGTTTACACGGCCACCATTTTTATTTTTTCAGCATAATCAGCAATGTGATACCTTACTTCCCATCGTCCCCTGCACGCATAAACTAAAAGCTGGAATTGCCTATTAGCTGTTCCTGCAGGTTTCGGGTAAATATGGTTTCGTATTACGCCCAGTAGATCCAACTGTGTTTACGCCAGCAGTAGTTGAAGGAAATGGAGATTAGACGTCCACATACCTTATCTAGACATTCTGAGAATTCCTTAGTGAAGTCTTCAAGCATGCGCTGACTTTCCTGCTAAAAACAAATATTTATTATTAATATCCAACCATATATATTAACTATGGTCCAGTAGAATGGCAAAATCACTGTTCATTTTGTGGTAAGATCACCAAATTTAAATTTTATTCCATAAAACCAGGAACATGACTAGTTAGCGATGTAATTGGCCGCCGAAAAGTATAGATCGATGTTTTCCGTACCGAATTTTGTCGTCACCCGATCACATCGCTCAATATTATTTTTCATGCAAAGTGTCGTTTTACTCAAGCAGACCATAATGGATTGTCTTAACATATATAAACTATATGGTATACCAGTCGGCTCGATAAATTAATTACACGAGTAATACAATCCTCGAGGCTGCTCTAAAATTTCAAGTGAAGGTTCCTTAATTCAAAGTAAGTTTAGATCAAAGTGTGTGACAAATTAACCTTGGTTTCAATTCAAAGGTCTTCATGTCAATGTGTGAACTAGGCGAATGGTACTGAACATGAAGCGAAAATGGTGAGCAATATTCATTATTATCGGTTTCTTCATTTGGCCAATTACTTCAGTGATATTTGGATCATATTCGACTATACTTACAATATTGGCAAGAAGAAAATCTATCAAAAGAAGTCCAATTTCTGACAGTTTCTTTGCCATAGGATTACTAAGTTCCACTGTACAAAACTGAAGGCTGCTTGGTTGGTAGAAATATAGCAGGCTACTGATAAACCTAAACAGAGATAACAAGTGCATGTGTCAGACGCATTTTATTCAGGGGGCGAACTAATTAATATTCAAAATTAGCAACATGGCGGATAGAGCATTGTAACTATCAGGCCTAGCAGGGGGTCCTATTTATTGGCAATATAGTAATTTATAGTAGTAGTACATACTGCTATAATTATACATTCTTGGGTTTCCATAACAACTGACAAAAGGTAACTAAGATAGACAATCCGTACTATAACGGTCCAGATAACTCACAACGATTCTTTAAAGACTATAGGTATGTATACTTCTATTTTACTCTCATCCTGTCTCAGGGACATGTTACGATTCTTTAAAGACTATAGGTATGTATACTTCTATTTTACTCTCATCCTGTCTCAGGGACATGTTACGATTCTTTAAAGACTATAGGTATGTATACTTCTATTTTACTCTCATCCTGTCTCAGGGACATGTTACGATTCTTTAAAGACTATAGGTATGTATACGCCTATTTTACTCTCATTCTGTCTCAGGGACATGTTACGATTCTTTAAAGACTATAGGTATGTATACTTCTATTTTACTCTCATCCTGTCTCAGGGACATGTTACGATTCTTTAAAGACTATAGGTATGTATACGCCTATTTTACTCTCATTCTGTCTCAGGGACATGTTACGATTCTTTAAAGACTATAGGTATGTATACTTCTATTTTACTCTCATTCTGTCTCAGGGACATGTTACGATTCTTTAAAGACTATAGGTATGTATACTTCTATTTTACTCTCATTCTGTCTCAGGGACATGTTACGATTCTTTAAAGACTATAGGTATGTATACTTCTATTTTACTCTCATTCTGTCTCAGGGACATGTTACGATTCTTTAAAGACTATAGGTATGTATACGCCTATTTTACTCTCATTCTGTCTCAGGGACATGTTACGATTCTTTAAAGACTATAGGTATGTATACTTCTATTTTACTCTCATTCTGTCTCAGGGACATGTTACGATTCTTTAAAGACTATAGGTATGTATACTTCTATTTTACTCTCATTCTGTCTCAGGGACATGTTACGATTCTTTAAAGACTATAGGTATGTATACTTCTATTTTACTCTCATTCTGTCTCAGGGACATGTTACGATTCTTTAAAGACTATAGGTATGTATACTTCTATTTTACTCTCATTCTGTCTCAGGGACATGTTACGATTCAACACATCCTTCCGGAAAATACGCCACTTTGGCCACAGATCTTCGTTTTCGTGATCGAGACGTTCGGGTTTGACTAATGTCATATACACGAAAACGAGGCTCTATAGCCAAAGTCTTAAAACTGAACTAGACTTACCCACTGCATCCAGTTTCTTCCAGTTTACGAAGGTTTACCGTTGGGCACTAGAGTGAGAAGAAAATGTCTATTTACTGGCCGTCATTTTAGCTTATTCTTTGTTTGACATTATATATAGAGAGGGTGTATAAAAAAAAGTTAATCCAACTTTGGCATGTTTACGTTTTTCATACCAATAAAGATCAGGCTTTTAGCTGTCGAATGCTACCTTTCTTGTGTCATTGCGATTTAAAAATGTCGGTCATTGCATGTAAAGCTATAGTCTGAATATTGAAATTATTCTCGTTTGGTTAAGTTAATAAGTTGCTGAATCAAGATGGTGCAACGCATGTGTAAGCATCAAGTTCTGGTAAATTTCCACTCGCAATTCTGCATCGAAATGGAGTGGTGAGAACATTTTACAAAACTGGAAGTTTGCAGACAGAACTCGCAATGCATACGTTTCCCACCAAATGGGCAACAAGCATTTGCCGGGCAAATGTTCCAACATTTGAACCAGCCTCGTACCCAGGCGCAAATAACGTACTAAAAATAGCAACACTACAGTGTTTTTATATAGATCAGTGGCTAAGATGAGCGAGCGCGCGGGGCTATATAAAAACACTGTAGTGTTGTTATTTTTAGTACGTTATTTGCGCCTGGGTACGAGGCTGCATTTGAACCCTAAATGTGGAAACATGCGATTTCAACCGACCACTTTAAATCAGATCGTATTTGGTCATTCTTTATCGCAATGATTGGATAAAGGTATCACGAAAACAGAAGATCTATAAACGTAATAATTAACGTATTAAGAACCTGTCAAAGTTGGATTATCTTTTCTTTATACACCCTGTATATACAATCTAACCTGGCTATATTACGTTAATTATTCGATCAACTGTTTTGCTTTTCGAAGTGTAAACTTCGGTATTTTTACTGAATGTATTTGTACTTTTATTGTTCAAGATCACGCACTCTCAAACGTAATTTGGAAATTACAATTTGTGTTCTGACTTATACCTCTAAAATGGCGGCAATTACATCCCATTGCAATGGATTGCAATCTTCTTTTGCAGTACCCACCTGAAAAAAGAACATATTTTAATAACTAAAATCTCGATTTTATGAATATAAAAAGCCAGTGGAACCATAGACCTTTATCACAGGTGTATTCGAGTAAAATCACAATATTATATGCAGTGTATATATCTCATATATTTGTTTACAAATGTCAGAATATACGTTCATAAAGCCGTTCACACGCATCACAGTGGGAAAAAAACATTATTTTGTTTGATATGTAAAAGGAATAAATTTCTCGAGTAACAGTTCATGGGTCCAATCAAATTTTTGGTACGAGTGGACATGCATTGTCCTTCTTGTGTATATAAATGTCTGTGTTGAAAATTACATGGCCTAGTCTCCTTCGCTACGCTCAGCGAATTAATAGAAAACATTTCAAATCTATGTTACACAGTGAGACCCAGCGAACGTCATCCGATCGATAAGTTTAACTATTTCATATAACATTAATGAATGTAATAGATACAAGTTTGTTATTGATCCGCGCGAATGCCCTTCTGGCACAGAATTTACCAATAATACTGGTTACATGATTTCATTTTATGCATATACCCAACAAGAGATCCCACGTGGGCGGGCTCACTTTAACAACGAGTTGAGATACTGCATATGATATTAACAGAGACGTATACATTAATTAAAAAGAGAAAATATAATACAATAAATAAGTAATAACTTACGTTTATATCTCTGATCATGTCATCATCAAAATCCTAGAAAAAATGCTTGAAGTTTTACCATTATAAAAGATTAATACGAAATTGCCATATATCTCTATATCATCGTCCTGTCTCGGCAAAACTCCCTTAGCGTTTCTTAAAATTCAGATATTTTAACATAACACCAACCTTGTTTATACATTTAAGTGCATTTTCCTTGTCTCGTTCACGTTTCTTATGTTTGTTCTTGCTTTCACTTGACTTTGATTGCTGTAAAATATGAAACAATCCGTTTACAACTACATATACCATACCTTACACAAACAACATAAATTAGGTTTGAACAACCACAGGGGTATACCGTGGAAGGTATAGAGGCTGAGAGATTCTGAGCCCCATCGATACAATTTCATTTCCAGCAGGGTGGAGCTGAGCGTCCTAGCCTTTTTTACTGTATTGCACATTACTTCATAACGTTTGATGAAACGTTATAAAAATGACACTTCAATGGAATAAAACTAACGATATAAAAATGACATTCGATGGAAGAAAAAAATGGGGAACTAAAAATACCCGAAACATTGCAAAACTTGCAAAAGTCAACAAAAATTGCAAAACAAACTCAATGAAAAATTGCAAAACCCAAACAAAGATAATTTTACTAATAATAACAATAATAATAATAATGATTTATTATCAGTATTTCCATACAATGGCTCTTCACCTGATAAAACTACTACTACTACAATATCTAAAGAAATAGTAAGAAAGTTGTAAACTAGACCTAAGCATTACAATTAAATAGTAAGACAGCGTTGCTTTAAAATATTAAAAGTTTGTCTAGAGAAGGCTCTATGATCTGTGCATGATTTGATATCAGCTGGTAGAGAATTAAATAATGAAGCTGAACAATCTTGAAAGGTATTAGGAACTAGAGGTAGAACTAAATTGACTTGAGCATTAGACCGTAAAACACGTGTGTGTGTTCAGACCTTTCAAGGCTAACATAAAGAGGCCAATCGCTGCTATATAACGCCTTATGTGTGGCTTTAAGAATATGCCAGTCCCTTCGTTCTCGCATGGGTAACCAACCCAATTTTAAAATCGATTCAATACTATTTACATAACGTCCAGTCACAAAACTAGCAGCTGAGTACTGTATTCGCTGTAGTCTATTGAGTAGATGTTCGGTTAGTGGATAGAATACTATGTCACTAAAGTCTAAACGAGAAATAATTAAGCTTTCAGCCAGATGCTTTCTCAGGGTGAAAGTTGTAAAGTTCTTAATTTTTCTGAGATTTGCTAGAGTGCCATAGCACGTCGAGGCAAGATGTTTCACATGGACGCCCCATTTTAGATTCTCTTTTAGATGTACTCCGAGTAGTTTCGTTGATTTTACTCGTTCCAGTGCTTTCCCTTCAACAGCAAGCTGCAGAGGGCGCGATGACAGGGAGTGGTATGTTGACATCTGACTGGTAGTGAACAGCATGCATTTTGTCTTGGTTGGATTAAGTGCCAGATTCGATCCTTGTGACTATTACAATTAACAAACAATACATGTACAAATCTTGAGTCTGACTCCCACGGTTGAGACATTCCTATATTATCATAGTTTCATGTCATTTAAATTAAGAATTATTATTCCTACACTGGTGAATGAGCTAGGGGAGCAAGGAAGAGTTTCCAAGAATATTTGTATAAAGGAATGCACATTACCATGGTAAGGAATTCCAAAAATAGTGAGTAAGGACTAAGTGTTCGCTTCTTCAATTGATGAAGTCTGTCCAAACAATTCACTGCAGAACTTGCACGTCTAGATTGAGCGAGAAACTTGATTATTCAATTAATTAACTATTATTCTGATGATATTTGTAAAATGGATAAAACTCTCGTGTCTGTACAAACTCCATACAGAGCGACTGCTCATGTTTATCTATTACTTAGAAACTTATCAAATTAATTTGCAGAGAGAACAATGGTTAACAATACGATCAGATTATGAAATTTAATACTATATCAGTATATGCCCTATCTATACCTAGTATGTGCGTCAACTATATAAAATGATGCAGTGATGCAATATCAATACGCAGTGGCGTAACCAGCCTGACTATTTGCTCCTGCTATGCAAGTATTTCCGTGTTCATAGACTGTAAAAACAATGAAGTTCTAAAGAAATGAATGATGCTTTGAAATTTACATAGCAGGACTAAATTTTCAGGCTAGCTACGCTACTGTCAATACGAATAGTACCCTCTTTCTTGTCGAGTGACTTGAAATGATGTTGCGATATTCATCAACGTTGGCAAACAGTGCGTATGGCTACTGCATTCTGGTGGCAACAGGGTGTTGGCCTAAAGCAATTATAAAAATTCAGTGAGATACAATGATGCAGTGCAGTACAATATTGCACAATAGCGTATGATATTTAACAAATATAAAACATTTTCCGTGTTGATGTACAGTTATATATCAACACGAGTGGAAATTGGGAAAACGACAAATTGTGTTGAACACGACGGCGGAGTGTTTTCACACAATTTCGAGTTTTCCCAATTTCCACGAGTGCATGTTGATATAACTGTATATCAATACGGAAAAAAAAGTGTTTTCTATATTTTTTATAATATAGCACGAAGAAATACAAATCGAGTGGGCAGACCCTGGGTACGAGGTTGCAAGAAATATAACGAAATAAATTTTCCGTATTGATATTAAGTTGTATCAACACCGCTCTTAGCCAATCAGCGTTCGGAATTTACAAATGCTATATTATAAATTGCAGTACAAAACAAAACAACAGCATAGCACAGTACAGGAAAAGAATACAAGGGCCGCGGTTGTGTAAAACTCTTAACTACTTCTTAAAAGGGCAGTGTCACGGCACTGATTGGCTAAAATAAACGGCGCAAAGAAACGTTTAAAATTAATGCTACATGATTGGAAAAATTGCAGCAGCCTTCAATTTTTAAAACAAAGCAAGGATGTCCTGCATAACAAAGGGATTATAAATAGCATATCGTATTTCACTCCTAACTTGATTAATTGTTGGCAGACAGTTTTTCAAGTTCGCGCATATTTTGGATGCGCAGTAGAAACGTGACACTGCCCCTTTAACCACTATCTTGCAGTTAACTCTAAAACTCCGCGATTTTGATGATGTAGGTCTGTCAAAGGATCGAATATGACTTCAGGATGAGGATCTTTACAACTAAATTAAATGTGGAACGGACATAATTGCTTAAATTCACCATTTTACTTACCATATGAAGTAATTGACCCAAAACTATCGTTGCTCGAACAGACACTAAATCTTCTGACGTAGTAATGACTTGTACCAAACTCTACACCAAAATTACACGAAGTAACATGACTCAATTTGAAAACGAAAAACCAAAGAACAGTTTATAGGAAAATCCAACACCCGCTGGTTAGTAGATGTATACTTATAAAAAAAAATGTCTGAGAGCATATTGATTAAATCTCTTCCTTGGAAAATTTGATACGCTATATACCTCAAATAATCCTGCCGTGACAAATGCTGATAGAACTATAGCCGTGTAATTCCTCAATAAATCCACTCTGTAACATACGAAAAATACATGTTTGACTTCAAACACAGAACAAAATCAGGCAAAGATTATGTTTAAAAATGTTGGAAGCGAAACCAGGATTCATAATTAATTGTGTAAACGTTCTCTGATTAAAAAAGATTTATTTATTAACAAGCTTTCGACTGCCAGTCTGCAGTCTTCGACGGGTAGATATATAATGTGCTAGTGATATAAGATATGATACAGAGTGAATAGTGCTATACAAAAGCGGTTTACAATTACATTTACTGACAAAAGACAATTACTGACAGTTCCGCCTACGTAAATATATTGTATAGAATTAACAGGTGCTTTGAATCGTAGAGACTTGGGAAACCAACGATTTTCGAGTGCGCGGTGTGTGAAATTGAGGTGACGGTGATGTGCTTCGAGTTTGTAAGTGGATTTTTCTAAGGATCTTGCTAGTTTCAAGGCATTTCGCCCGGCCTCTTGGCGGATAGATTTAAAAATGTTGGAAGCGAAACCAGGATTCATAATTAATTGTGTAAACGTTCTCTGGTTAAAAAAGATTTATTTATTAACAAGCTTTCGACTGCCAGTCTGCAGTCTTCGACGGGTAGATATATAATGTGCTAGTGATATAAGATATGATACAGAGTGAATAGTGCTATACAAAAGCGGTTTACAATTACATTTACTGACAAAAGACAATTACTGACAG